GAAGATCCACTTAAATAATCTAAAAACCCAGAGACCGGTCTTGTGGTAAGATACACTTCCCATTCATGCCTCATCTAATCACCCTCACTCTGCAACAACAATACCCAGAATCTAATCACCCTCACTCTGCAACGATACCCAAAATCTAACCATCCTCACTCTGCAAGGATACCCAGAATCTAATCACCCTCACTCTGCAACAACGATACCCAGAATCTAATCATCTTCACTCTACAACGATACCCAAAATTTAGCGACTCACTTTTGTAAGTGACTAATTCCCCAAATCCATCTTAAAGACAGATGCATAATTTCTCATCAAGGAGTATTTTCTGTGTAGGTGTGTTCATGTGTCATGTGTGTGCTCATGTCCATGGAGGCCAAAGGAGGGCATCAGGAGTCCTGGGGCTAGAGTTACAGCCAACTCACAGCCAGGTCCAATGGCAACAAATGTCCTGAACTACTGTGCCATCCTTACAGCCCCAAGGAGCGAATATTTTTTAATCACATTTTAAGTCACTTATAGTCCTTAGTTTTTGTCGTTCCTTAATAATTAAAAAAAAACATTCTAAAAGTATCTTTTGAAATCATTCATCTTTTAATAAATAGCTGATTCTCTTCTAAGCTTTTGCCCCTCTAGGCGTATGGCAATGAACTAGACATTACAAGATTCTTGTTGCCATGGGAACACTGTTTACATATGAAAGGCAGATAGATAACAAGGTAACTCCAGATAAACACTCTGATGGAAATAAGCCAGTGCTAGTAGGTGTGATACAGCTTATGTTTTCATAAACTTATTTATGGTGCATGTGTACATGCCTTCATGTGTAATACTGTGCCCTTATGGAAGCCAGTCTCTCCTTCCACCACGTGGATTCTGGGGGTCAAATTCAGGTCCCTAGGCTCAGCAGCAAGCACCTTGCCTGCTGAGCATCTCCAGCCTGCAATGGTTTGAATGACAACGCCCCCCACAGGCTCAGAGGTTTGAACGCTTGGTCCCCAGTTGATGTTGCAGTTTGGGAAGTTTAGGGGTTGTGGCTTTACTTAAGGAAGTATGTCACTGGGGGCGGGCCCTGGGGTTTAAAGGCCTTGCGCCATTTTCACTTTACTCTCTACCTCCTGCAGAGATGGTCCAAGACGTGAGCCTTCACCTTTCAATTCCACCCGCCATGTCTGGCACTTTCTTGTCATAAGGGCTCTTAGTGTTCTGGAGCTGTAAGTCCAAACACACCCTTCTTTCCTTAAGTTGTCTTGGTCATGGTCCTTATCACAGCAATAGAAAAGTAACTAATACATAGCCTCCTCGAAGTGACATTTCATCAGAGGCAGGGAAGATGAAAAGGAGCTACCCAAGGAACAGGAGGATACAGAGATTCCCAAGCAGAAAGGTAAGGAGAAAGAGAGAGAGAGAGAGAGAGAGAGAGAGAGAGAGAGAGAGAGAGAGAGAGAGAGACAGACCCTGGGACAAGTGATGTCCCAGGGTGGGTAGAGTGCAAAGAATAACAACACCCAGGAAGTGACATACTCTATCCAGGTCACTTTAGTCCTCGTAGAGAGCAGACACTGTGGACAGAGGGAGGGTCAGTGGCAGCACATATGGAATGGAAGAAACAAATCAGACTGTCAGCAACAACAAAGCAAGAGGCAGGTGGGTACCTAATACAAACAGATCTTCAGGGGTGGATGAGGGATAGGCAGAAAAGACTAACCCTGGAATGGCAAGGTAAGACCAAGAACTGCGGAGTGCTGTGCACATCTGCCAGCTTTGCCTGCTTCCCATGCGGATTTTCTCCTCGTAGTCAGAAAATGCATTACCATATGCTTTAGGTCACAGTGGTTCTCAACCTGTGAGCTGCAGACCCTTCGGGTGTCGAACAACCCTTTCACAGGGGTGGCGTATTGGTGTGGGAGAATTGTCTGTATTCTGTCAATCATATTTTAATAAAACACTGATTGGCCAGGCAGGCAGTATAGGCGGGAAAGCCAGACAGGAAGAGGGGTGGAGCAAAGAGACTGGGAGTATGTCTTCTGGGAAGAAGAAAGCTCTTCCGCCATTCCTGCACAGACCACTGAAGAGGCAACATGTAAGTTGACAGCTGAAAAAGGTACCAAGCCATATGGCTAACATAGATCAGAATAATGGGTTAAGATAAGTCATAAGAACTAATAAGTAGCCTGACCTAATGGGCCAATCCGTTTATAATCTTATGGAGTCTTGTGAGTGATTTTCTTTGGGGTTTGACGGCTGTGGGGTACCGGGCGGGACAGAAACCCCAACAAGCCGCCCCCCTCATGTTACAGCGTATCAGGTATCCTGAATCTCAGATACTTACATTATGGTTCAACAGTAGCAAAGAAATAATTTTATGGTGGGGTGGGGTCACCACATGAGGAACTGAACTAAATGATGACCGCCATAAGAGGGTTGAGAATCGCTGATCTAGGGGAAGGACACAGCTAATTCCTAACTCCTGGAGACAGGGAACGAAACTGGTGTTTCTGTCAGGAAATCCACATCAGAAAGGCTGCAGAGCAGTGGTGACCACGGCAGTGACGTCAGAGTAGCCTGTTTCCGCCTCCTTTCAGCTTTCTTGGCCTGCCGACTGTCTTTAATATACCTTAATAAACTGAAGCATAACTTTAAAAAAAAAATCACAGATCCTAAGTGTGCAACCTTTGAACCAACAAGAACAAGATGTAAGAGTCTGTCAACACCTTAGGAGAACCTTGCCTCTGACTCATGGTTTTAAGATTCCTTTTCTGCCTGAGTTAGCCAGTTAATTTTTGGCTAAGTCAGAATGTAACTAAGAATTCCTACTTCCAGCAACGCTCTGCTCATCAACTGTGAACCAAATGATTTTTGCAAACTGGTCAGGAAATGGGGAACAAAGATCATTTCTCCTACACTCAGATGAACAGGAGCCCAGTTTGGATTTGTGGGGATTTTTGAGACAGGGTCTTACTAAATAGTCCTGGCTGGCCTTGAACTTACAGTGATCCTCCAGCCTTTGGGTGAATTATTAAGTCTTAAGGGCAATTCAATTTTAGCATTTCAAAGTACCTGAAAATGATGGTTTTAAATTCTAAAATTACATGCTGGGCAGTGGTGGTGCACACCTTTAATCCCAGCACTTGGGAGGAAGAGGCAGGTGGATCTATGGGAGTTAAGAGGCCAGCCTAGTCTACAAACAGCCAGGGCTGTTACAAAGAGAAACCTTCTCTCCGAAAACCAAAATAAGTAAATACATAAATATAAAATTACTTTGTGATCAGAAATTCCAAATTCATTTTCTTTAGGGTCCGCAGCATAAGACTACACATTCTGCCATTCTTCGTGGACAGCTATTGCATGAGAGGCAGCGACCCTTAGAGAGAGCACCGTGAGCACGGAGAGCACATCTCGCTGGCTCACAGGACTTCACCACGCGGCTTGACAGCAGCCGCTACTAATACCATCCGATCTAAGACCCACTTTAACAGGAAATCATTTTGGTTTCTTTGTTTGTTTGTTTGTTTTTAGACAAGGTCTATGTAACCTGGCTGCACTGGAACTTGCTTTGTAGAACACACTGGCTACCAACTCACAAATATTCACCTGTTTCTGTCTCCTGGGTGCTGAGATTACAGGTGTGTGCCATCATACCTGGTCATTTGATTCTTTTTTTTTAATGGCAACTCCCTTCTACTGCTTGAGGTATACTTACAAAGCCTACAGGCTGATTCTTTTGGCTCTTACTTCAAAATATAGCCATAATTCTCTCTGTAAGGTTATAAACTTACACACATGCGTGCGCGCGTGCACACACACACACACACACACACACACACACACACACACTCACACACGCCACCTCTACTGATGCTTCTCGTCTGAATGGCCATATTTCCGTCTTAGCTCACAGCACAGCTGGGAAGACTATCACCTAATGCAAAAGCCTTCAACGCTCTAACCTAGTTTCAACAGGAGACAGCAAGCTCTATCAAAATAAAGAATGGGCACGGAAGGACGGGGAGAGATTCCAAGCTCATCTCTGGCGTGTCCTGCTCATCCTCGAGCACAGGCAGGACCCCCAGGTTCTCAGCAAGCACTTAGAGATTGCTATGACTGGACGGATCCAGAAGCTGATGAATGGGGGTCTGAACACAAATCAGTGAGGACTTGCTCTGGACCGTGAAGGTTCAGTGGGTAAGATGCTTACACCATGCATGGCGTCTGATGTCTGAGTTTGATCCCTACGGCTTCCATACACGTGCCATGTGAGGTGTCAGTTTCCCTGACCCAAACACACCACACACACACACACACACACACACACACACACACATTAAAATATAGAGTGCAATTTTTTTAAAAAATGTTATGTAATGGCACATAAATGTGGCGATTCTGGAAGCAGCAAAGGCAATTTTAAAAAGCTGTAGTTTAACATAATCAAGTAATCAAGCGACAGAGACTGATCAAGAACTATTCTCATTAAAAATAAAGTAAGAACAGGCCTTGAAGTATTTCAGACTCCAGAAAATTCCAATTTTGGACATATCAATTTCATATATATTTACGGATAACTCACTTAAGAATACAAAAGTGAGCCAGGCGGTGATGGCGCACGCCTTTAGTCCTAGCCCTGCAGAGGCAGACACCAGCCTGGCTCCACAGACAGTTCCAGTCCAGCAAGGGTTACACAGAGAAATAAGAACATGACAGGACTAGAAAGACGGCTCAGGGGTTGAGAGCACTGACTGCTCTACCAGAAGACCAGGGTTCAATCCCCAGCACCCACATGGCAGCTCACAGCTGTCTATAACTCCAGCTCCAGAGGACCCGACACCCATGGCGAAACACATAAAATGAAAATTTTAAAAAATATATATATGTAAAAGTGATCCTTAAAAATCAGCTATAACAGCCCGGCACTGTTACAATATTTTAACTGGAGCCACTTCCTTAATTTCTATAATGTGCATGACACAAAGGGAGGAGAAGAGAGACACCGTCCTTACAAAACATTTAAAACACTGTTTACTCATGACGTACACCTGTTACAGTCTCTGGGATTTGTTACAGGTTTTAAAAAAATGGAAGTCTCATATAAAAATAGTTATTTTCTTTATACTAGTGGCTTTCAAATTAAATACCTGGATGTTATGTGTATTACATAAGAATGGCTGTTACATTAAAAACTTTAATATTTAGAAAAACATTAAGAAACCAGTTTCTGCATAGTTATCACACTTTAAACTCGGCAACTCAAGTTGCCCACACTTTTAAAACTACACATTCTGTAAGCATAAAAGCTTTATACACATTACAATCTAATTTTTAAAAGCCTTCTAAATTTACATTTTTCAAACACCACTGTGATTTCTGTAACAACCACCCCATAGATGTACTTAGCCAAAATAAGTTAATTTTAAAAAAAACAAAAAACTGTACCATGTAGCATCCTGGCAAGATGACTTCTTTAGAAACAAGGGCAATTATGAAGCCAGTGTTTTAAGCGTACCGCTACAAACACTTAAAGCCTCACAGAAAACAAAAAGGCACAGAACAGGTGAAGTTTCCTTAAGTAACGAGTGCAGGTCACTTGGCCCGGTCAGCTGAAGGGCTCAGCTGGAAGCTTGAATTTTCTTGGGATGCCTGGAGCAGAATAGGGGCTGCCATTTCTACTCACACATGTCTGCTGTGCTTCTATTCAAGTGGTTCTTCTGTAACTTAGCTTTTAATTTAAATAATCTTTCCCTGAAGAACACATTTTTTAAGCTAATAAATTTGGCCTCATGACACATAGTTTTTAAAATACATGGAATTCTACAGTCAACCCCTTCCCTCAGGTAAAGCCTAAATATACAGTGCACTTATATAAATATATACATATCCTCAGAATCATAAAAATATTTAATTTTATAAGCTTAAATAATTACTGAATGTTAATACAAAATACATTAATATCTGTATAATTTTACATTTATAAAAAAGTTTTCTTATAGCAGCATTCGTATTGCAAATGAAATGTGACCAAATGACATTGCACAAGGACTCTGACTGCAAATCAGCTGGGCCAGCTGCAGTGTCCTCTGCAGGGGACATCTGTCCCCACCTACAGAGGAGCAATTCTCACAATGCACCCAGGTCGCGCAGGGGTAATAACATCCCCCACCCTTATAAACACCTCCAGGTTTCCTCCATCCAACCTGCAAGGTTTATTAAAATGCCTCCAAAGCTACCTTTACCCTAAAACGGTTCATAACTAAAGTAACTGTATTAATGAATCGTGACTATCGGTGAATCACCTGAACATATTAGGAATTAACTTGCAGTTTCAACATTTAAAAACAAAACAAAACAAAACAAAACAGAGAGACACCATGAGGAACAAGACAGGAAGCTGAGGATTGACCTGACACCTAATGACGTCATCACAAATAAAACTGCCCGTCCTCCCATCTCAGACACTCATATTCAGCTTGTTTTTGTTGAGCTCACGTTCCAGATTGCCAATCAAGGTATCGATACTTTCTTGCAGATCTCTGAGGTTAGCTTTCTGATGCACTGTAGACTCAAACGTCTCCATTGTCAAGTACGTCTGAAATGTGCACGATTTAGAGATGGGGACTGGCTGCTCAAGCGTGACCTCTGCTCCATCCACTTTGCTGTAATCGGTATTTTCTCCATCTTCTAAGGGAACATCATCATAATCCAAATCTTTGAGATTTTCTTTCATATTTAGAACATAGTTTTCCCCACAGCTGCTCCAGTCTCCCGCGTAGCGATTGCTGAGTGGACTATCCAACCTGGCCTGCCGTGGCCTCAGCACCCCTGATAAGTCCGCGCTGCTCAGATTCAATACACATGGTCGCTCTTTCTTTCGCCTCAGATAATGCAGAGATGACTGCTCCAGGTACAAACTGTCGGTGGGTTCTTTCACAGTTAAACGTTGCACTAGAAATGAATACATGTACTTTAGTAACGGCCACCGGCCTGGGACAGACGGAGCACACAAAGAGGCCATTTAATAATCAACTACAAACATGCACTTGAGACATGCGGTCTACTGAGAGCATCCCATAGTGATTTCTCTACCACCAGATGCAATCAAGATTAGGCACAGAGACTAGTAGGACGTTCAGTGGTACTACTTCATGCTAAGTAAAAACATTCCCCAAGAAAACTCGCAACGCTGATCAACTTTCTGTGCAAGTTAATTGTCATCTAGCTGTTACTGTAGGCTCGTAGCTCCTCCTAAAGACTACAGCGGAAAGCGGACAAGCCATGGTGCGTAAAGGGCATGGAGCAAGAAGCTCCTTCTCTACAAACATCTAGCTGAGGCAAAGGCTTCTGCAGCGATCATTCTAGCTCTGACCTCAGTGGGCTTTTTTGTAGTTAGCAGTGTATCATCATTTACCAAGCAGCCCAGATTTCCCTTTGGTAAAATGCATGAATGTTAGATTTGGTCATTGTTACCTGAGTGATTACACAGCATTAGCTACTAACAGTCTTCATTTTTTCTGCCTGGAAATAGCACAGATATTTTATTTTTCCAATTCTGGTTAGAGATTTCACAGCCTCAAATAACATTCTTTGGATTTTGACTATCTTCTTCTGAGATAAGCTTCATTCTACCATACTGTGTTGTACTGGTCATACAGCAGATGACAGACACACGTGACTTCACACAAAACAAGACTTACATTGCTTACTGAGAACAACGTTTATTTGTCTAAGGTTCTTCTGCATAGAAAACAGACTGTGTAAAATGCTAAGACATAGTCATTTAAGAATAGCCACATTATCTATCTCTTTCTGCTCCTTTATTCTCTTCTGCCTCTCCCTTAGAGCTCCCCCAGTCAGAGAAGGGGACACGAGCCAGTGATAACATCAATTTTGCAACACAGAATGAAGGTTTGTTTGCAAAAGAAAGCAACTTAAGAACGGTACACACATCTGAGTCTTCCACTTAAAATAATATTCCCCATGTTGTACAGAGATATTTTACATATTTCAACTTTTCTTTGAGCAACTGTACACTGTATGTTTTTAACATTCTATTTATTACATTTTTAAAGATCTATTTTGTGTATGAATGTTGTGGCTGCACGTATGTATGTGTACAGATTTGTGCGGTACCAGAGGAGGACACAAGAGGCACCTGATCTTCTTATCTCTCTGCTTAGTCAACAGCACACTGGCAATCTGGAGAAAAGCCCACGTCTCCTGCTTAGTCAGGACTCTACTGAAACTCTACTTTTAGCTTCTTTGGAGACCACTCAAGAAACCAACTAAATCTTTATTTTACATTATTCTAGAAATTCAATTTCTGAAACATCAATGTGGCTGGCTTCTTAGACTATTGATACGGCGATGTTTTCCTACAAATTTGTAAGGAAAATGGCTAACCATAACCCTGAAGGTCTGCCTTTCCCTGTGGTGATACCAACTGCCTGTTGTCCACAGAATGAAGAGAACACTGCTAAACAAAGGTGCTGGAAAGGCTTCAAAGCATATTAAGTACTAAGAGACTTTGTTTTCCTTATATTTTATACCCGTAGATTCTCATTCCCTATATTGCTTTCATTTAGAAAACAACACCTTTATTTAATAAAACTATATTAGGTGACCACTAGTGCCAGGAACTAAGACTATGGGGCAGGTAAATATCATCGGTGACCTTACAAATTCGAGAACCTAGTAAGGGGCAGGAAACCCGCCCCAAATGTATTCATCATGAGGAACGTGGAACAGTGACAACCTTAAATCCATGTCCCTACTCTGAAAGGGGGGACTCAATAGCACCCAGGATTCTTTCCAATTGTAAACCCATTGCTTTTTTTTAAAGTCCCAAACACAAAGCATATAAAAAGAAGACGTCTTGTCCCATAAACCAAACACAAAGCATATAAAAAGAAGACTGTCCTATAGAAGTATAAATGTTTCCACTGCGCCAGGACCCTTGATCACCCAGCTGCAGAGCCGCTGGCAGAGAGAGATGGGCAGGGTGTGCGGAAGGCAGGGTAGTGTTACCTTCAGGGGCTAACATAACAGGCTTCTCACTTTGAAGACAGGACTTTACCAACAGAAATCTCAAAGTAAATTACCTCTTGCCCCAATGAGGGGGCAAGGGTAAGATCAACAGAGAAAGCAAAATGCGTAGCAAAATCATAAATAGATAGATAGATAGATAGATAGATAGATAGATAGATAGATAGATA